ATAGATAGATAGATAGATAGATAGATAGATAGATAGATAGATAGATAAAGACATCTTATGCCTCCATTTATCTGTTTACTACAGTCTGTTGAATTCATGTTCATGTGGATTTAAAGACATTTAGTGGAAAAAATTCCAAGGGGGCAATATAAAATAAAAAAAATCAATCAATACTTTCAAGACCCCCATGCAATTCCTCCAGGACCCCCTAGGGGGCGTGGAGCCCCTGTTGAAGACCTCCGGTTTAAAAAGTAAACGGGTTTTTATGGAGGTTTCAACCAACCAGTGTGTTGAATTCATGTTCATGTGGATTTAAAGACATTTACATTAGTGGGAAAAATAGCATGGGGGGGGAGGGATTAACTCATTGACTGCTAGCCATTTTCAGAACAGAGAGTCCCATACTGCCAGAGTTTTTTGAGCATTTTGACTGATTTTTCAAGAGCCACAGAATAGTTTGTGCTATGACTATGTAAACACCGAACACACCAAAAGAAAGAGTAGACTCTCTTCTTTCATCAGGAAAAAAAATGTGTTTCTACCTTATTCCGTTCTTCCTGGACTTGCGTCTCACCGGCGACATGTTCTCTCATAGCGAACCGTTACCTTTTTCTTATTTGCCTACAGTCTATGCTCATCTCCCATCAAAAGTGGCACTGCCACCTAGAGGGTCAATTTGTTACTACATACTCTGTCTAGAAGCCGATATTTACGGACAAGCTTTAGCAGATCGTCCCCCAGCCACTCTCGTTGAAAAACATAAAAGACCTCTATAGACGTCTTTGGCAGCCAATGAGTTTTAAAAAAAAGGCTAATCAACCATAACTTTCGCGGACCCCCTGTTGAAGACCTCGAGCTTAGACAGTTGAAATATTATTATTTCCTTATTTCCCCCACCTGCTGGTGCAGGTAGTCGTCCCGGTAGCTGTGCAGAGGCTTCCCGTCCAATAGGATTTCCCCGGCCTGCGGCTGGTAGAACCGCTCCAGCAGTTTTACGCAGGTGGACTTCCCCGACCTGTTGAGCCCCACGAGGGCTGTGACCCGGCCCGGTTTCACCTCCAGGGACACGTCCTGGGGGGGAGACACACACGGAAAGGCTGTAAAAAAACAACCAGGGCCAAAACAACCAGCTTTGGTGGAAAATCATAGAGGCAAGAGTGCTGTTTGGAGGTATTTTGCCTTCGAAAACCGAAGGATTTGTTAGAATTGGGCTATAATTACTCACTTTAGCACAATTTGTTATAACTTAATCCATGTAAATGACTGAAATCCGGTACGTCGTATGTTTATGTTTATGTTTGTGCATTTGGCAGAAAAGCGTCTGCCAAATGCACAAACATAAACATAAACGTCGTATGCCCATATTACGTTCATTGACACTGTCAGTACACATAAGCATAAAGTTAATACATTTACATAAATGACTGAAAAGTGTTATTTTCTCTCTGGAAGTCACAGAATAAAGCAGAGAGAAGTAGTCCTCTACCATCTACATTTGACCAACAACGGAAATATGAGGCCACGTCCCCAGAAGCTATGAAAATAAACAGAGCTGGGGCAGAGTACACATGTATGTATCCATAAATATGTATGGATAAAGTACATATATATGGATAAAGCATAGCCAAGGAAGGAACACTTAAGATCATTTTGTTATTTTTTTATCAAGCTTGCTTAATATTGTGCACAGCATACAACCTCAAAATATTGTTCTTATTGTTTATTGTATTTATTTATTTGTATGTATTTTATTTAATAAGAAAAATATTTCTGTAAAAGTTTTGGGGTCTTTGTTTTTATCCTTACGGTATCGAAAATATTCCTTTTTCGATTTTTCCTGAGTATCGGTATCGAGTAGATAATTTTACTATCGTGACAACCCTAAAACACGGTAATAATTAGCTGGCGAACAGATCAAAGGGTCTAAACGAAAAAGGACAGATACCTTGAGCACGAGCGAGTTTTCCTCCGTTTTCCCGGAGTAGGAGAACTTAACGTTCCTGAACTGGACGTGTCCGGTGAGGTGTTCCGGGGCCAGAGAACCGGAGGGGGGGGCCCGAGGTTCCCGGTCCAGGTACTCAAAGATCTTCTCAGAGGCCCCGATGGCTTTTTTCACCTCAGGGTAGTAACGCATGACAGCCTGGGGGGGTTAGGGTTAGGGTTAGGGTTAGGGTCAGGGTTAGGGTTAGGGTTAGGGTCAGGGTTAGGGTTAGGGTCAGTGTTATGGTCAGGGTTAAGGTTAGGGTCAGGTTTAAGGTTAGGGTAAGGGTCAGGGTCAGGGTTACGGTCAGGGTTAGGGTTAGGGTCAGGGTTAGGGTTAGGGTCAGGGTTAGGGTTCTGTCAGGGTTAGGAGGGGCAGTCTGTAGGAGCCTCGGTTGGATATCCAACTCCTCCCACATCCAAGTCGGCCATTTTGATTAGGTCATGTGACTAGCAGCTTTCTGAGGTGGAAACGAAACTTTACTGTCTATACGAAATCAGAAGACGAACAATGTCCTAACCCTAACCCTAACCCTGACCCTAACCCTGACCATGACCCTAAACCTAACCCTAACCCTAACCCTAACACTAACCCTGACCCTAACCCATACCCAAACCCTAACCCTGACCCTCCACCCTTCATAATTGTGAGAAATAAATGTTTTTTGGATTAAACTTGTTTGGACTTATTGTACAAACCTATTTAACATCCACTATTTTAACATAATATTATGTAATATTACATAATATTATGTATAGAGATTAATGTAACTATTTTTTAATTAATGTTTATATTGCCATGAAGCAATTAGGATTTTCTTGCCTGGGATCTTCCTATTGGTGACCTAATCAAAATGGCCGACTTGGATGTGGGCGGCGGCTCACCTCCACAGCAGAAGCGAACTGCAGCTCGTAGAGGACGAAGGAAACCAGCTCGCCGCTGCTGACGGTTCCCATGGTTACCAGCGTCCCGCCGTAGTACAGGATGCACACCTTCAGGGCCAGCGTGGTCATCTGAGTCCAGACAAAAGAGCAAATGTTTGATATCACTTCATCTATCTATCTATCTATCTATCTATCTATCTATCTATCTATCTATCTATCTATATATATATATAAATACAGACATTTATTTATATATATAAAGATAGACTGAGTCCTGGTTGTACCCACATCTTTTCTTGTGTTATTTCTAGTTTATTTCTAGTTTATTTCTAGTTTATTTTAGTTTAACGACTTTTGATTACGGTTAAGTAAATAGTTAATTAAGTAAAAAATGACAACTGGTTGGATGCAACACCAAAATTCCTTTATAATACCAGTATATAGCGATAGATAGATAGATAGATAGATAGATAGATAGATAGATAGATAGAT